TTGCTTAATGAAAAGTCCTCACATTTCTTAGGTTTTTTTCTTTTTTTGATTAAGACAGGGTCTTACTATGTCATTCAGGCTGGCCTTGAATTTACGGGAATCCTTCTGCCTCAACCTCCCACGTGCTGGGATTACAGGCATGTACCACCATGCCCAGCTATTTCTTGATAGATATTTTGTTTCAGTTATAACTTGGAGTTTTTTTTTTCTCATTTGTGTTTATGATTTATTAATCAATATAGGTTAGTAAATTGCCTTATAGTATTTATCTTGTATTTGGCTGTCTTACTGACTTTTCATGTTCTACAGTGGTAAGTTGATTTGTGTTTATTGTCTTACTAATTTATTTGGCTAAAATTACTAGAACAAAGTTGAATGATTCTAGTGACAATGGTGTATATACCTTGTTTCATCAGGAAATGAATTTTTAATTTTATCATACACCCTTTTGACATCTTTTGACAGTAACAGAATCATTGTTCTTGAATTCTTGCATTCTTGGAATAATATTTGACTAATGACCTTCTGGATTCCATTAGCAAATGTTTGACAAATGTGCAAATTCATAAAAGAAAAAAATTAAAATGTGATTAAAAATAGCAACTAGCTGGCAGTTAAAAAAAAAAGGCAAAAATGAAGCATAATAAATAGCATTAAAAAATATGGTATAAGATGAACATGTTATCAGATAAATATGAAGGGATAAACTTAAATCCTACTAAAAATTATTGAGTAAGTCACTGTCTTAGTCTGTTTTCTACTACTGTACCAGAATACCTCAGACTGGGTAGTTTATAAACAATAGAAATTTATTTGGTTCATGGTTCTGCAGGCAGGAAGTCCAGGTCTTTTTTATTGTATTATCTCATGGTGAAAGGCAGAAAGGCAGGAGGCATGCAAGACAGAAGATTTAGCCAAACTCATTCTTTTTCTGAGGAAACCACTTCCATAGTAACTAACTCCTGCTACAACAGTATTTTAACTTTCCTTTGCTAGGAAAAAATACCCGAGATATACAACATAAAGGAGTGGTTTGTTTTTGGCTCACGGTTTCAGAAGTTCCAGTTCCTAGTTGGCTGGCTCCAAGGCAGGAACATGGTGAAAGGATGTGGTGGATAAAAGTTCCTCAGCTCATGGCATCTGGGAAGCAGAGAGCAGAGTAAGAGACAAAGAGGAGAGGACCAGGGAATAGATATAGTTCCCAAGGTCATATCCCCGTGATACCTGGACATACTTAGCAGTGTGCTTTACTCGTCTCGAAGGCACCTCTCAAGCCAATGAAGTTCCTACTCAAGATTACTCATCACAGGTCTACTCTTTGTCAACTTGACACCCAATACATCTCTTTAAACCCTACTTAATGTCCAAATAGAGAAAATAACAGGGTAATAATTCTACCTAACACAATGTAATTATCCTACATACCAACAAAAGCATGAATTTTTTCCATAAAGTCTCAAAAATCCTAGACCAAAGTCCCCTCTTACACTCCAGGCAAACTTTTAGCTGTGGGCCCCTGTAAAAATCAAAAAGCAAGTTACATGTTACCCTGTGCCCAGGATACAGTGGCACAGGGTAAGCATTTCCATTCCAAAAGAAAAACTAGAAAGATAGAAAAGAATGAGACCAAAGCAAGACTGAAACTCAGCAGGACAAATATTTAGCCCTGTACTCCATGTCTGGCATCTGGGGCACATGGTGGCAAGATTTGAGCTCCACACATCAAGGGCAGAATGTTCCTCAACTTACTGCATTTGGGAGCAGAGAACAGCAGAAGAGCTAGAGAAAAAGAGGCCAGAGAGTAGATACAGTCTTTAAGGAGTATCCATGACACACCCAGACGTTTAAAAGTGTGCTTTACTAATCTCTTAGGCATCTCTCAGGTCTATCAAGTTGACAGCCAAAGATTAGCCATCACAAGCACTAATCCACTCAGAGGAGAGAGCTCTCATGATCTAGCCATGTCTTGAAGTTTCTACCTCTTAATGCCATCACAGTAGCAATTGAATTTCAACAGAAGTGGAGGGGATATTCAAACCACAACACTCATATAAAATCTGTGAGACTAAAGATTCAAAAGCTGAGAATACAAAAAATGCAAAGATATAACAAATATAGGGAGACATGAATAGATGAATTACAAGGTAATTTTGCTTAAGTCCAACCAGTAGAGACCATACTCTAAGTGAAATAAATCAGACCCATATGTGTAACTATCATATTGTCTTGCTAGTGTGAGAAGCTGAACAAGTAAATAAGATCCAAAGTGTACAATAGAAATTGTGAATTGGGAAGAAACTGTTCAAAAGAAAAGACAAAATGTGGTAGGGAAAGGAAGAAAGAGAGAAAAAATAAGCATACACAAGATAGTTAAAAGTTACACAATTAGTTTTGCTTAGTTCACTGAAAGGAAAGGTTTGTGCTAGTATTGTTTAGACGAGATATCATGCCTCTGTCTTGTACTCTGAATAACTACTATGAGGACAGCAATATGCAGTATAATAATTATTGTAACTATCCTACTAACCTGGTTTGAATCGCTGTTTCACTGTTATTTCTCTTTTTTCTCTTTAAAGAAAAAGTTTAACCAGTAAACATGTATTATTCACAACTTAGGGTTTCTTTTAAGTTTCTCATTCTTCAGTTCACCTAGAACTTCTTTCGGGTCATAGTCTCCAACTTACCTAGGTCTCTTGTCTTTTCTCATTGTCTGGATATACTTCTTCCTTAGCTAATTAGGAGCAGGAGGGAGCCATTATTTCTGTGTCAGTCTCATCTCTTGTTGAAAGCTATTAGTCAATTCTAGTACATATATGCAAATAAATGTACCATTTGGACACATAGCCCCTCCCACTTCACCTCCACACACACACAACATTAATATCTAGCTGCAGATTAATACTAGACCAAAATTCAGTTGCCGTGTAATGATACCCATTCCTCCAAATTCTTGAGTGCATGTAAGTTCATTTAACCTATAAACTCCGGATTTCTGAGTATGTTTTGAAAATGTTTTTGCTTTCTTTGGGTTGAGTCCCTTGTTTTCTGTAAGTTCCCATCAATAACTATAGATCGCTCTCTTATAGAGCTCTATGATGTGGTATGATGTGATTTCCATATTATTCTATCCATTTTCCCTTTCCAAGCGGCTGCCCTTGTACCCTCCCTGAGTCTGGCTCATTGTTAAACAACTTGACGCTGATAACCAAATAGTTAGCTTGGTTTTGCTATTTGATATTTTTTGGTGTTCTATATAACAAAATAATCTGAGAGGCTACTCTGCAGCCTTTCCCAATTTAAAAGAAATAAAAGTTTAAAAACTCAACATAATCTGGAGGTTTTACTAGCAAAATCTACATATACTTGTTAGCTATTATCATTCTGCATATAATTTCTATATGCAGTGGTGAATTCCTAACCCAGTGGTGGCAAATCTGCACCACGTGTGCTGTAGCTCGCTGTTATCATTGAAAGCTCTGAAAGGTTCACCATCACTGTCCTGACTATAGATCTTATTTTTTTAAAAATCTTCAAATAAGCTGTAAAAGTGGTACTTTGTGCATCTTTTGGCTTACTTGGGGCCTCCTTCCTCTCTTACTCTAGTAGTACCATCTTAATTGGATTTTATTCACAAAATAAAGAAATAGCAACTATTTAAGTGAAATATATAAGTATTTTAGCAAAATACTTAAAATTGGTAAAAGCCATGTTTTGTAAGCCACTAAGCCATTATTCACATATGTAGCAATAGGTTTTTTGTTTTACTCTTGAGTATATTGATACACTCATATTCCCAGTACCTAGAAGAGCCCTTAATACATTGTGAGCACCAGTTTCTGTAGCTGCCTAACCTATACATTGTTAGTTTAACTCCATTAAGAAATTGAGGGGCTGGGAATTTAGCTCAGCGGCACAGAGCCTGCCTGGCAAGTGCAAGGTCATGAGTTCGATTCCCGGTACCGGAAGAAAAACAAAAAAAAGAAATTAAAATTTTGATTTTTGAAAAGGGCGTTCATTTTTCCTTGAGGATCAGCTATAAAACTTATAGTAAATCCTAATTTTTAAAAAATAGTTGATTTTTTCCAGCGTTTTAATTGTTTACTCTAGATCTACCTTCTTCCAGCAGCCTCCAGTGACACCATTTTGACTGTGGTCAGAAATCAAAATATAAAATTGGCTGCTACCCAGCTTCTATCAGAGTATGTTTGAGAAAAGAGTTATTTAAGGAAAGATTCCTGAAGGGACGTGTAGTTCATCTGCTTTGTGTATCTGCACTGTTTTATTTCAGGTTTGAACTCTGAAGGCTACTTTCTTGGGAGGTACAGTTTGTGTTCTGGATTTTATCAAGGATAGATAATTGTGGAAAATCATATTAAAACAGATTTCTGTGTTTGAAAAACCGTCAAGGCATTGACATTATGCCAGTTAATTTCCCTCAGAAAAATTCACCATGAGAAATACCTTGGGATTTTTATCAGGAAAAAAAAAATCCTGGCTTCCTGGAAAGATTTAGTAAACTTCTTTCTTGCTAATTCTGAGGAATTTTTTTCCTCTTCACCTGGGAAGCTCAGTGTCAAATTTTGGGGTTTTTTTGGTTTTTTTTTTCTAATTCTGAGGAATTTTTTTCCTCTTCACCTGGGAAGCTCAGTGTCAAATTTTGGGGTTTTTTTGGTTTTTTTTTTTTTTTTTTTGGTTTTTGTCTTTTTGAGACAGGGTCTCACTATGCAGTTCAGGCTGGCCTTGAGCTCACTTTGTAGCCCAGGCTGGTCTCGAACTCCGAACAACCCTCGTGCCTCAGCCTCCCAAGTGCTGGGATTACAGGCATGTGCCACCACGCCCGGCTGAATATATCTTATATATATATATAAATAAATTCTGTGCTAGAAAAAGAATAGATTTCAGTTGAAAATAGATAAGGTATTTGGTAAGCACCTGTTTATGCATTGTTAAGGTAGGTCTAGTGAGCCCCTTTTAATTTTATGCTTTTTTCTTTTCATTAGAAAACATTGTGTGATGTGATCCTCATGGTCCAGGAGAGAAAAATACCTGCTCATCGTGTTGTCCTTGCTGCGGCCAGTCATTTTTTTAACTTAATGTTCACAAGTAAGTATCTGAAGGTAAAACCTGCCATTATTTTTCTCTGTAAGAATTAGATGAAATCTAATATATGTCGTTCTTCCTAGTTTTTAAAGCTTGAGGCTGTACAACAATAAAGTGGTCAAGTGATGTGGTCAAAGGAAAAAACTGTCCTTTCATTAGTGTTAAGGGCCCGGTGCCTTTGTCGGTGAAAATGTAGCTTCTACTTCAATGCCCATGGTTCCTTTTTCCTCTTAATCTCAGTCAGAAAGGCAGAGGAGCAGATGTATTTGAGGACAGTATATCTAGCAGGTTATACTAAAAGGAGAAGGTGAAGGATGAAATACAGCTATTGTCGTGGAAAGAACTTTATATTTGGAATTAAGAACAAGTCCAAGTCCTGGTTCTTCTATCTAGTACAGTTTTGTGATCTTAATCAGATTAAATAATGTATCTGCCTCCAGTTTTCCCTTTGGTGCTCTAGCTCCCCACCAGAATGTTTAGGAGGAATGAGAGCTTGGCAAGCGATAGATGACTCTGTGATTATCAGTGTTCTCGTAGGTTTGCTCCACCATTTTGCTCCTAGCAGCTTAAGAATGTGGCTAACCCATTGTAGGGGGAAACTAGATCTCATCTACATATTGAACATGCCCTGGATATTCCGGTTCCTCAGTTAAACGTGGGGTCCTTCTGATGCCATTTCCATTTCTCTTCATTTTAGCTAACATGCTTGAATCAAAGTCCTTTGAAGTAGAACTCAAAGACGCTGAACCTGATATTATTGAACAGCTTGTGGAATTTGCTTACACTGCTAGGTAAGTTTAGAAGAAGCGTTTTTATTTTAGGGGAGTGGGCTATAATAGCAAAGCATTATTGTAACAAATTGATGCGCTCCAGATTCTTCAGAACAAAAAACTGTAAGGATGGAATGGGAGAGTCCTGTGCCATGTGAGAGTGCAGTAATTTTTTTAAATAATAAAAATTTGGAGACATTAACACTTACTTTAACTTATTTGCAGAATTTCTGTGAATAGCAACAATGTTCAGTCTTTGTTAGATGCAGCAAACCAGTATCAGATTGAACCTGTGAAGAAAATGTGTGTTGATTTTTTGAAAGAACAAGTTGATGCTTCCAATTGTCTTGGTAAGAAATATCAGATTTCTGGTATTTTTTTTTTAAATCCTCATTGTTTATTTTTTTTTTAAAGCATGGGGTTAAGTATCCTTACTTAACCTTAAAGACAGTGTCCACTAGAACATTTTCTAGGAATAACATTTAAGAGGAGCTTAAAGGAATATATATTTTTCTGGGCAGTATCAAACCCAGTAAATACTGTAGCGACATTTTTTCAAAATATAAAATGCCTTTTTAAATGAGTTTTTATGTGTCAAGGACGAGAAATACAGATAGCATATATTGGTGGTATTATGTATGATAAACATGAATGTTTACTTTTATTCAAGTACTTATGATATACTAAAGTCTGTTACTGATTAAAAGAACTGAGGTCATGTATGTTCCTGCCTAAGGTTACATAGTACCTCTACTACATGAAAGAGCAGGGATTGGAATTCACATAATCAAATATTTAGATGCTATACTATGCTGCCTTTCCACATTTTGTGAAATATGCTGTTTTGTACTAGCAAACATAAAAGTCCTTGCTTATAAATTAAGATGGTAATCAAGGAGATGATATGCCTCTTAATTTTGAAGCTGTTAATAAAGTAATGTTTTATTTGATGGTGGGAGAAGCAAGGAAAGTCTGTCAGGATTTTCTGGAGTGTGATATTCTTTCCGTTGTGAGATGATCTTTAGTGGCAGGAGCTGAACATCCAGGTCTTCATAATTACATTTTCCTTCCCTTACAAAGCTTAAAGGGAAGAAGCTTGGAACCCTAGGAAAGCAAGAAGGAAAGAAAAGTAGAATCAAGGGAATAAGAGAGGCCTGGGAATCTAGTCAAGGCTAAGATTTTTTACCCAAGAGCAAGTTGAGTGTTGATGACACAAAGGCATAGGCTGGACGAGGGCTCCTGGAAATACTGGCGAACTTTGCCAGCCACCGTCTCTGCTTTGATGCTGTACTTCATCCAGGGCACACACTCACTTTTGAGCACAGAGAGAAAGAACTTGGAAGGCAGGTGAAAAGGAAGGAAAGAATTTCAGAAAAGAATTAGGCAGCCAAAAGAATAAAAATGAGACTTGTTCTGGTATTCAGAAATGGAATTGGACTAGATGGAGCAGGAAGGGGAACAGCTACACATTTGAACATACTGATGGAATTTCTTAAAGGTAGCACTGGGTCGGCTTAGTGAAAAGATCCCCATATGTCTTAGTCGCACTCTTGCTGCTGCGACACAATACCCAACACCCACAACCTGCAGGAAGAGAGGTTTATTCTGGCTTACAGTCTTAGAAGTTTCAGTCCATGTTCAGCATGTTTAAATAATAAAATAGCACGGTGGAGGGTTCTGGGCGGAGGAAAGTCCCTCATGTGGTGGCAGCTGTGAAGCAGAGAACAAAGGCAGGAGCCAGAGAGGCAGATGTGTACACTGTCCCAGGTCACGTTCCGAGTGACCACCTCCCCCAATCCAGTCCCACCTCCTACGAGTGAGTCAGCTGCGCCCCCGGCGTCCAGTCCTCTTTCAGAAGGCCAGTCCCTTTTCCCATCTAGGTAACAGAGACGGTCTGGGAGGAGACTCCATCTCCCTGGGCTGTAGTTTGGGATTCCATTCATCAATAAACTGTATATTTCAGATATTTAATTTTCCCTTCATAAATATTCTCACACAATGTATATTTAAAGGAAGGAATTATTTTAAAAACAGTTTTGGAAGATGATGGGTTAGGTACTTTTTCCTAACTCCCTAGCACTCTAAATTTCTTACTGAACTGATTGATCTATAAAGAAAAGTAGATAAAAAACAAGGAGATGTGATGGGATAAAATGTGGTATACAGCCTGGAATGAATTTGTGCTAAGCCCATTTTAGGCTTTGGACTTCTGAGAACATTTTTGGAGTTTGCTTCGGGGTATTTCCTGTCATCATTGTTTACACTGGGCAAGGGAAGATGATAGCTCAGCGGCCAAGAAAGGAGTGTGATCCCGTGGCTAAGCCCAGGATAGAAACAGCAGCTCAGAGAGTTGAGCCTTGTGCAGTGCCTCAGTAACTACAGAACTGCTTCTACCTGCTTTCTGTGTAACCCTGAGCATGGCTGTCACTACTGACCAGTTGGAAAACTCCTCTCTTAATTTTCACCACCTCTCAATTTTCTGCTGCCCCCCAAATCCCAACAATCTGACTTCCACAACTGCTCATGGAACTCACAGAAGCTAATTGAGTCGGGCAAAAAGGCTAATACAAAGGTCAAAGAAATCCAGTAGTTTAGGGAACCACAAAAAGAACAAAGAAAAACAGCCAAAATGAATGGCTTCTGTGGACTAATTCAATGTAAGAAATGGCCTTCCCTACTGATAGGGAACTTAAAAATAGAAAAGGATGTATTTGAAAGAGGGAAAAAAAAAACATGATTTTCACTATTTACATTTAATCAAATGGAGAAACAGTAAATACTTCTAAAACTCAAGCTAAAGAAGATCCAACAGGGGAAATATCCTCGTGATACAAAACAAAAATACAAAGAAAGAAAGCCATTTAGTGCAGTGATAAAAGACGAGAGAAACAGGTATAGGAACACTGAAGGGACGTCAGACTTCCAGGAGGAACAGATGGAGTAACAGAAGAAAACTTACTTAGGCTTTAAAAATAAATGTGAGCTTCCAGACTTACTTATGAGTGCCAAGCTTGCTTAGTGAACTAAGATTTTCTTCCCTTAAAAATATCTCTGGAGTTGGGGATATAGCTCAGCGGCACAGGCACCTGCCTGGCAAGCACAAGGTCCTGGGTTCAATGCCTGGTACCAAAAAAAAAAAACTCAAAGCCCCCAAAATATCTCAGTGATATTTTTCACCTCCAGATATTAAAAATTTATAGGGGCTGGGGATTTAGCTCAGCGGCACAAGCGCCTGCCTGGCAAGCGCAAGGTCGTGAGTTCGGTTCCCAGTACTGGAGAAAAACTAAAAAAAAAAAAAAATTTATAATTGAGGTAGTAAAAGTGTTTTGGAACTAGATGGTGATAGTGGCACAGTCATTGTGAATGTACTAAATGTTATCAGTGGTACATTTTATGTGTATTTTACCATGATAAAAAATCAAAACATAAGAATATAACAGAAAGAGGCCATAGATTATTTTTCATCGTTAAGTGCTGGACTCGGGACTGGGGATGTAACCCTGTTGCCCTGCATTTGCAAGGCCCTGGGTTCAATACCCAGCACTGGGAAAGGGGAAAAAAGGTGGAATCTGTTATTTCTTCCTTGTAATATGAGTGTGGCTAGGTGATGTGGTTTTTAGCCTGTGGGACATTACAAATTTTGTTTGTTTGTTTTTGTTTTTTTTTCTGGTACCAGGAATCGAACTTGCCAGGCAGGCACTGTGCCCCTGAGCTAAATCCCCAGCCCCTGACATTACAAATTTAAGCTGAGCATAGGATTGAAAAAGGAACGTGGCCACTTTTGTTCTTAGGAACCCTTCTACAGCCATGAAAAGAGACCGATTGGGATAGCTGACACCCATGAGATCAACCAGATAGGTGAATGAGCCAGTCTAGACCATCCAGCTCTGGTCAAACAACCAGCTGAGAGCAGAGATTAGCCAGTTAACCCAGATCAGAAAAACCACTATTTGACCCATAGAATTGCAAGAAATAAGACTTTTTTTTTTTTTTTAGATCTGCAGAACATAATAGCACAAGGTTTGTAAATGATAGAGGAGAAGAAAATAATTATATCCTAAAGCAGCATTCATTTGGGATATTGTAAGGGAGCAATGTATAATCACCCATTTCCCTTTTGGGAAAAGTAGTAGAGGAATACTAAAGCCAAATGAGGTAAAGACCTCAAGATTAGGATGTACCAGTTAGATTTCTAAAATACAAACAAAATAAACTGACCTTACTGGCTTTAAACAGAAAGGAAATATATTTAAAGCCTAATGGATAACTCATAGAATTGCCCAGAAATCTCAGAAATCAGGCTTAAAAAAAATTGAATAAAAGCTAAGAACAGAGTGTTTACCCAGTGGCCAGAAAGCTCAAATTGTTTTACAAATCCTTTGGAATGTTTATAAGTGTTGGTCACCAGCAACAGAAAATCTGGAAGAACTAAAAGAGACATAGGCCCTACCTCCTATGTCCAGTGCAACAAAATCAAAAACCACATAAACAGACCCATTTCCTCCAGCACTTTTTCAGCACTTGGAAATTTAACCAAAGAATTATTTTTTAGAAAAATACATAAAAGGATATATAAAATAAAATATAGGCTAATAGAAAAACATGATAGTACACAATAAACCAGAAGTTTTGGGATGTAACCAAAATGTTTCTTAGAAGAAAATTTATTGCCTTAAAATGTTTCTCAAATAAATGCATTTATTTTTATTGTTTCCTGATTTAAGAATTCTGCTCAAAGAGGTAGGGAAAAAATTCACTTTTTTTTTTCTTTTTTGAGACAGGTTCTCCATATGCAGTTCAGGCTGGCCTTGAGCTCACTTTGTAGCCCAGGCTGGTCTTGAACTCGCAGCGATCCTCCTGCCTCCGCCTCTGTGCTGGGATTACAGGCATGTGCCACCATGCCCGGCTCAAACACTTAATGATTAAATATTCTTTAAATAAAAAAAATTTTATTTGTACATGTTTGTAAAAACTAATAGATTGGAGACTTTGTCAAAAGACAAAAGCTAATTATTTGAAAGAACTGTATAAAATAGCCACATACTTAGTCTTTTAAGAAAGATCCAAAAACAACATCAAAAATTGGAACTATAGGGATGAGGATATAGCTCAGCGGCACAGCACCTGCCTGGCAAGCTCAAGGTCCTGAATTCAATTCCTGGTTAAAAAAAAAAAAAAAAAAAATGGAACTATAGATAGGAAAGCAAAAGAGAATGATTGAAATTGTGTTCAAAGGCAGGCAAACTGAAACCAATTACCTGAAAGACTTGGAAAGGTAAAAAAAATGTGTTCCCAAGTAAGGCTTGATGACAACGTTATAGGTTAATTCTACAAAGCTTCCAATATAGAT